TTGTTAACACACAGAGTACACACCGCTGTGCACAGCGCAGGCACACGCAAAATCAGCTGATCTCATCTGATGCACATCTGCTCCTTGATCAAGTGACATTTGTCCTGATTTTTGGCACGAGTGGCGTACGATCAGCACCGCAGCTGGATGGCCCGATTTACATACCCGGCGCAGCTGATACTCACCAGAATAATTTACTAAAATTAGTTATTAAGTCTGTTTTTAAGTCCAGTTCAGTCTGTTAATGTTGATAACGGTCTCAAGCGAACGTTAATAGGTGTGTTGCTAAGCCTAATAACTTAAATAACAACCTTGAAATGTACCCGTCCCATTTTCCACTTTATTGTTTTTTTCTCTGTACCGTAAATCTTCCGTCTAAGAAGAAATCTGAGGCTGCTGTTCTGAGAATGAGCTACCAAAGCTTTTTCTGAATAAATCAATAAAGATCAATTTATGGAAAGCTGTGATGAAGGCAGTTTTGTCTTTAATTATATTCAACAATATAACATATTTGACCACTTTTAAGAGATTTTTCTAACTTTAATACACTAAAGTTAAGGTTATATACCTAATTTCTAGTAAGTGGTCCAGCCCCTCCTGTATTTTTATGTATGTGGCCCTGAGTGAAAAAAGTTTGGACACCCCTGGTTTACAGCATCCTGCTATGCAGTTATATTTGTCCCTACTCATTGGGGACCCTCATGTTAACTTTTATCTAGTGGAAAAAAGTTCATCCTCCAGTTTCACTGTGTTTATGTTATGCTAACATAGCTATGTAGCTAGCCACCACGTAGCACATCATTAGATACCAGCTAGCCCAACTTCAATAACCCTACAAACGTCACTGCTGTTTAGTTTTCTGTCTTCATTTATGTCGGGAATGATAGCAGAGCTGTACGTCTTAATTTTTTGCTGTGCCGGATTTTTGGCTTCACAAACCCCCTTCATGGAGGGCACGTTGAAGCTCATTTTGCTCTTCATGGTGTTTCAACCGACGACATGAAATACCATCTTGTGGTGGCCTCGCTAGAGCCGCTGTCCACCCGCTGGGAATTACACTGCTCTCAAGGTGCTGCTGTGTTTTTACCATCAGCATGACTGCGCCGTGTGGCCTTTGCAGTTTTAAGGCCCGGGGGAACGAGCCTGCCAGCACTCTGTAGCGGCCGCGACCGCTGGCGATAAGGAAAGGCTGCTCTTTATAGAGGACTCACGATGTTTTCTGGTTGACTCCGGCTCCGAGAAGAGCCTTGGGAACTCTTGTGTTGTCTTTGCATACCTCCACAATGGTTTATTATTTAATCTTAAATTTTTTGGGGGGAGATTTCCCGTGTACCACTACAGGGAGCCTAAGTATCACCAGCAGTACTCGTACCACAGTTTGAGAACCACTGTTATAAAGCATTAATTTCTAATATGATGCTAGTCTTCTGTAAACTAATTATAAAATAATATATCTGCTCTGTATGTCTGCTGTTATTTTTCTAATTAATATGATAGAATGATAAGAGTTCATATGAAATGTAATTCTACCCACATCCTCCATATAATAAATACAGAAGAATAATATAATTTATTTTTTATACATGTTACATATTTCATAATTCATTTCTTAACAAAGCCATTCACATTGTAAATGTTTTCACAATTACAGCTGTTCTTTAGTAGCTTTTTAACTAATTGTAGACAAGCAGTTTGATTCTTAATAGTAATAATAGTTACTTTAAAAATACACCTTAAAGCTCAGGTAATCGCAAATCACAGAATATCATGCAAGAAGTCTTACAATGAAGCAAAATTACTGAATGTATTGTATCGTAGGATGGTAATTCCTAACCTTTTCTACAGTGGTCCCTCAACATACTGTGTCTGCTCCTTATGCCTTGTCATCAGGTACCAGCGTGAGATTTAATCTGTTTGTACACAATTGTGCTGTCCTGCTCACACGGTATGATTTGAAAAGTTTTAGGGTCCTGAAAAAGAAATATTTGTGTGTCTATTGCAAAAATGAAATTTACTTTCACGTTGTAAGGTTCACTTTGTGCCCCTTTGTCAGGACCGTGAACAACAGATAGGGAACCTCTGCTAGAGGTGATAGTGAATGAATGAGTGAGGAAGTGATGTTAGGTTGTTTTTTTGTTTATTCAGTCTGTTCTAATATGAATCTAGCAGGTTCATTTCTAAAACAGGAGGATGCATATACATCTACAAATATGTGTTTGCTGTAGGTGCACCTTCATCAGTTCCTGGACCTGGGCCATCTTCTTCTTGATTGAGGGTCCATTTATAATTACTATTGAAAAATCCAGCCTAGCAGTGAAAAAAATGAAATAACAGTACAATAACTGGAATAACTTTTTGAAGTTGTGAAATCCACCAAAAAACAGTAAGAAGAGTGTTTCACCTTATACAGCCCAGCCGTGAGTACAATCAAAAAAGCCAACCCTCCCAGGGATCCTATGACAATTGGTTTGATGAAATCTGGCTTGATGAAATCTGGCTTGATGAAATCTGGCTTAGGATACAACTCCACCACTGTCTCAATCTGATAGATGAAGTGATAGAAAGTCAAAATAATCCACGCTTGTGCATTTCAAACAGGAGAAAATGTGCAATCACCTTGTAAACAGGAGGATTGTAGTTGGACCCTGTTGAAAAGTAGAAGTACTGGTTATCGTCATACTCCAGACTGGCTGTACTGGTTAAGAGGAACTTGGTAGACTCAAGTCCAGTCTAAGAGAAAAAAAAAAGAAAAAACTAATGAGATAAGCTTAATTTATGTAGTTTGTGTTCTTTAATTGAATGTGACATTTGTAAAGAATATGGTTCAAAGTGACAGTTTTAATCCAAACATAACAAAAATTATCCATTAACTACCTGCTCTATCCATCCTAAACTGAGGTTGGCAGAGATTTCATACGTCCTACTCTGCAGTCTTTCTATGAAAGTGTTGCATTTGAACACTCTGCACCTGGCTACAGAGCAATCCTGTGGGTGATTTAAGAGAGACTGAATGAAACAAAAGCTGTGAACCAGTGTGAGGTGAATTTCTGAATTTTTGTCATCTAGCAAGGTGCAGAGGCATACTTACCACTACTTTATTCTTTAGTATAATTGGAACAATATCTCTGACATCTGATTCTTCATCATTTCCTCTCTGACAGTCTGGAATCTGAAATTTACATTTTTTGTTTGAACGGTCCTAACTTTGCCACATGTGCCCATCCCACAGCTAAGCTTGAAACATTTTTGGAGTCAGCAGCTAAAACATCTGAAATGTATATGTAAACGACCACGGCAGACCCAGTGGCATTTTGGTAGTTTTTTATTAATCCCTCACGGTTGCTGCACATTCGCACTCAGAGCTGCAGCTCTCCCGCTGCCAGCTCAACATAACAACAACAACAACCAC